AAAAGCGGGCAAGGCCGAATACACAAATTTTTCCTTTCTCTTTGTACAAAACGTGCGACGATCCTTTCGTTGCGGCCATCCACACAAGAGAGAACATCTCTGCGGCAGGGATCGTGGAGGGAGAAAGTTCCTAGAAAATAGGGAATGCCGCTGGGCCCAAATTGTCATCCGGTATGGCCGTGGCGCTGTAAAGATGAAAATGGCGCGAAGGCGCAAACGACCTCAGTCGCCAACATATATATTAACCTGAATAAAAATTATGGATAATTTTAAAGCTTCATGATTAAAATTTATTTTTTAGAACGTGTATTATTAAATAATATTCTTTATAAGAAATAATAAAAATGCTTAAATCTCCATTAATTTTTTTACATAAGCGATGGTAATTAAAACCATATTAAATTTATAAAAATTTTATTAAATAATAATCTCATAATTATATTAAATTCATAAAGATCATATTTTGTTTTCTTGATTATTAATGTATTTAAAAATTCTAAATTATATTTAAAATTTAATGTTATTTAAAACATTGTAATAATATTATAGTTTACCAATATTAAATAAATTACCTTTTAAAATATTAATTTTTTTTATAAATTTAGATATTTTATTAAAATTAGTACCTATATTTAACGTACCATTTCATTATGAAGAAATTCAAAAATAGTACTGCGATGAAAAATCGCCGATGCAACAACAATACTGCACGCCAATTTTAGGAATCATGATTTTCTGTTACTCAACAATTGGAACGTCCGGGAGTCAAGACCAAATACCAGTACTCGCGGTATATAACACAATTAGTACTGATATTATTTTTTAATTAAAATTTTTTTTATCATTGTTTTGAAATTAATATACAAAAAATAATTATTTCTTAAATTAAAATTAAATTAATTATTATTATTAGGTCATATAATATTGATTTTTATATTACAAACATGAAGTTGAAACGAATGGAAGTTAGCGATATTACAGAAATAAAATATTGTTTAGAGTAAAATTCATACAATAAAATTCAATTGTTTTATTGATGAACGAGAAAGATTACATATAATTTTGAGAAAATGGATTCAAGAAGAATAGACGCAATGTTTCAAGAAGTTGGAGAAAATCCAATAGATTTATTTACTTCAAATGAAATTATAGACACTATACAACTGTATGACTCAACTATGTAAGTAGAAAAAAATTATTCTGATTATTTAGTGATAAAAAATTTTTCGCGAATTAAGTAAATCAATATTAATGCCAAGGAAAACATGTAATCTTCATGATTTTACAATAGTATTAATTTTATTTAAAAAAAATTTGCTCTAAATATAAAAAATTAATATGTATATAATAATTTCTTAACGGAAAAAAAAATTTAAATTAAAAATTAATAATATTCGAACTTAATACTAATTTAGAACTTTTTTATAATAAAATATTACATTAGATATAAGTTACCAATTTTGTATAAAAAGAATTTATTAAAAATTATTAAAAGTTTAAAAAGTAATTAATCTAACTTGATTAAATTATTACTAGGTTTTAACCTCAATTTTGAAAACAGAAATTATAATTTTTAAACATAAATATTTAAAAAAACAAACAATATAATCTATAAATAAATAATTTATTATAAGATTATTATTTTATAAAATCTATTTAAATTTAATTTGATTGTAATTACAATGACATTTTTTTGTTGGTTGTAATTTATAGTTATTTATAATTTAAATCATTAATTCAAAAAAATTATACAAGATTTTAAAAAATTGAAATTTATCAACAAAAAATTATTGACATTTCTCTTTATGATTAATAATTTAATTTATTACAAATATATAATTTTAAAAATGTTTAATTTATATATTTTAAAATAAAATGATTTAAAAAGCCAAGAATATATGGACAGAATTTTGCTCATTGACTTATGAAACCTTTGCGGATTTTTGGCATGCGCATTTTGGTGACTTTTGTCACTAATAGGTGAGACGGATTGCCGTTCGTAAATAAGGGGTGGATTAAGTCAGCAAACGTTAGTTTGCAGCAAATATTGTACTATATATTCCTGAGTTGGCACTAACAAAATGTCATAAAGTTTGCTGTATATGATCGCGGAAATAATTCCTTAACATGCATTTCGAAAGTAAAAGAGATAATATATTCGAGTTCGATAAAATATATTTGAGAATGCACATAACAATGTTTTAAAAATTAATAATTATTAATAGTTCTGAAAAATAATGAAAGGTTTTTAAAATGATATTGTTTTTAAGGAAAATTGAAAATGCATCTTACTTAACAGTAATGCACATTATATATATTAAAATGTATTTTTGCAGATTTAAATTAACCATAAATTTTTTTTAAATAATTCTATAGCATTTATAAACAAGAAATGAAATGTTATAAATTAACAGTAATACGGTAAATTTATGTACTAATCAGTATCATATACCATATAATTGATAAATATAAATAAATTTAATATTCCTTTTTACGCTTGAAAAATTTTAAATATAAAATTTGAGAAAAAATATTATATTATTATTTCTAACTAATTATTAATTAATATTTTATATATAGTGAAATAGTTGGTTACATAGATGGAATTGATTCTACAAGATATGTTGGAAATAAACTTCAATATAAATTCTTCAAGTTTTATTTAAATAATGGAAATGGTAGACGCATCCAAATTGTCGCATGGAATGATCAAATTGAAAGAATAGAACATCACATAATGAGTAATTATGTAAGTACTGCAATTCTTTTGGAAATAAAATTAAAAAAAAATAAATAAGCTAAAAATTATAAATATTATTCTAAAAAATAAATTAATAAATAAGATTGGTGTACCTACTTTAAAAAAATTAACGTTAAAATGTTATGATCCTAAATTAATAATTGACTTATGAATGTTAAAATCTTTGCAAAATTTATATAAGTAGTCTAAATTATCAAATACTAATATTATTTATATACATGGTGCATATATTTAATATAATATAAAAGAGACATTTTTGTTCGTTTAAATTCGAAAGTAT